TTTATGTTATAGAGATGAAATTATTAAAAAATATGTCTTTGTACGCAAAAACAAAATAGAGTAAAAATAGAGATGTTATTATAAACAAAAAATTTAAAATTAAACAAATTTATATATTTTTTATGTTATAAAATATGAAAGTTAACTAGGGATAAAAATAAAAGATGAAAGTATGTTATAAAATTAAAGAAATATTTAATAAGTTAATTTTTATATAATTAGTTTGAAGAAATAAAAGTTTAAATTATTAATTCTTTTTAATCTTTTAAAATATAATTATTTTATTAAAATAAAATTTGATACATAACAAATAAAAATAATAAGATAAAAAAATATGACATAATAAAATCTAATAAATCTAAATTATAAATAAAATAATATTAGTTATTACTAAGATTTGTGTAAAATATTTAAAAAAAATAAAAAAAAAGAAAAAAATTGTGTTCATCAAATTAATTGAAAAGATTAAAAAAAATGATAATTGGAGAGATTAAATAAATGTGAAAAATTGAAATATAAGAGAAAAAGAACAATGTAATAAACTAGTTGATATAAAAAATTAAAAAAAATTAATAAAATATAAAAAAAATGATCTTATATAATAAAAAAAAAGAAAAAAATACTTAGAAAAAAATGATTGCATTAATTATTTCCACCGTTTTTTTTTAAGTGGAAAAATCACACTTAGATTTTTCCTATTACACTCGTAACGGGAGTAATGGGTCCACGGGTTCCTACCCTGTAATCCACCGTAGTTCCGTCTCATGCGTTGATTTTACAACCAACGTGTAGTTATCCAGCTTGACATGGGATTAATATATGTGAGGATGTTATTTGAAAGTGTTACATAATATTTATCATTCATAACATCCACATGCTATTCTCTACGTAGTTTCAAATATATAACAATCTAATATCTACACGTTTATCGTAGAGGAATGATTATTGGTTTAAATATATAAGATTAGAGATTTTTATTTTGTTTTTTTTCTTTAATATTTTTTAAGTTCTCGCTATTATGTAAAAATAAAAAATAAACTAAACTTTAAAATTTGTTTATAATTTATTAAAAATTTTACATTTTTATATATTTTTAATTATTAATTACTACATATTAAAATGATGTATTATAATAATAGTTATTTTTTTTATAAAATTTAAAAGTAATGGAAAATAATTATAGCTAGTTTAGTGTAAAAATTTAAAATATTAATTAAAAGTTAAATTATTTGTAAGTGTATAATTTAATTAAATAATATATTTAATATTTTATAAACAAAATAGTTATATTTTTTTAATTTTCCATATATTATGAACAAATCATTCAATATTTAATATTTCTATAAAATAAATTTACATATTAAAAATAATAAAATATTTAATTAAAGATATTTATGATAAAAAATAATTTTAAAAATAAATTATTCAAATATGTATTATTTATAATTTAAATGTATATTTTTTTTATTTAATCAATAAAATTTAACTATAATTTATAATTAAAATTAATATTATTAATATACTTAAATATAAGCTGAGTTGTATTTTCGAGAGACACGTGAAAAAAAATGTTCCTAACAAATTCATAATGAAACTGTGAAAAAAATATTTCCTATGCAAAAAAAATATTTTTTAATAATTTTATAATTTAATATTTGTGATAGATTTATAATGAATTTATTATAGTTTAACAATGATAATACTTAAAAATTAATTTGAAAAGAGTAACGTTAAACATATTTTTTTATAATTACTATATTGCTTATAATAAGAGATTAGTCACAAAATTGTATGACTAAATTATTTTTCTATTAAATAAAAAAATAATAAATAAATATTAATTTTCTAACTATTATATTACATAATAATAATAATTGTATTCTTTTATTATTTCATCATCAATTAGCAACTAAATTTCGAAACCAATTTTTCATCTCTTACAATTTTTTTTAGTGGAATAAGATATTATGATTTCAATATACTTGATAAATTGAAATAAAAAAAATGCTTTCTCAAAATCTACGTAAAATATGTTTGGATAAACTTTCTAAAAAATAGAAAAAAAGTAATTTTTTCATAAACTAAAATTATATATATAAAAAGTAAAAAAAAAAACAAACGATTTTAAAGATGACGAAAGAGATAATTTTTATAAAATAGCTTATATTTAATTTTAATTTATATGAAAAGTTTATTTATTATGTATTTGTTTTAGAGGTCTATATAGGTTCACACAAGCACTTTGACAAATAACTCATGACAAAGTGTGGATTGGTGGAACTAAAGAATTACAATATCCTATTCACAAGTCGTGGTTTGTATTCAAAATAACATAGTCAATTGAAACTAAATAATTTTTATTATTTTTTTTTTACGTTGAAAATCTTCATATATCATTAAAGCACATGGATGGTTAGGAAAAAAAAAAATAAAATAAAAAAAACCTGAAGGAAGACCTTTCTCATCTGCTTCTTCCTCTATTCCGGGTCAAATTGTAGTTTACATAATTAAAATATCAACTAATCAAATTTTTATTAGAATTTAACTAAAAATTGATGGTCTAAAAGTTTTCAATCAAATTATAGATAATTGCATCTAGTCAATTAATTTGGTTATTTTATAATAAATGCTTCAAAAGAAAATACAAATATATTATACTCTGATTATTTTAAAAATAGTATTTTTGTTTTAATAAGTACTTTTTTTAGAAGTTTCATCTAGTTTTTAAATAACTGATTATTTTAAAAACTGTTTGCTTTATATTTAAACAAATGTACAATATTAAGATGTGTGTTATGAAGAATATAATAATATTAACGCTAAAACTTGCTAATTTTGTCGATATAATATTTATATTTTTTATTCCATAAATGCATATGGATTTAATTTATTATCGTGAAATAGATGAGTTTAATCATATCAAAGGAAACGCATAGCTTTGCCGGCACACTAAATTAAATTATTTTTAATGTTTTTTGTTTTCGTTTTTGAGACATTTGGGTATTTTTTTATTTTTATTTTATTTTTTGTTGAGAGGGAATAACTTGCCCACAACATATGGATTGTTTTTAATTATTCATTCTCTATATATATATTCAAAAACTATTTTAATTTTAATTGTTTTTAAAATTTTATTTTATTTTTTAAATGTTTTTTCTACTTTTTAGATATATTCACTTTTTTTCCTCCACTATATATTTTTTTCTCTTTTCTATTTCTACTGATTTTTTAAAATCTATAATATTTTAAGTCATGAAAAAAAATAGTTTTTTGTAAAAAAATATTTATATTGATATAAATAATTCAAATACAAAAAAATAATAATTATGATAAACTAAAATTATATTAATTTTGATATTAAAGACTTGAAAAGGTGTTCAAGATTAAAAGAAATCGAATATTTTGATGATGTAAAGTGTAATAAATTTTAAAAATATAAATAAAGTGTATTTTTTTACTTCTTTTGAGATTGCGTATATGCATATGTATCATGAGTAAACATGCACATAAAACTAATAAAAACAAAATAATCAATTATTATAAGTTTATAATCGACCTTATAATTAAGTATTTAATATTTATATTTTTAAACAAATAATTGATTATTCATTTCGAAGATTGATTATTTGGGCATAGAAATAAAATTAATTAGTAGATAATATGTTATCTCAATTATTTCAATTGAGTACTCAATTTTGTAGAATTCAATTAATTATCTTTTATACAAAGTAATTGATTATCCATATATAATAATTATAAATGAAAATAATAAAACTAAAGTGATATGAAGAATGAAGTAATTGATTGTCCAAGTAATCAATTATTATTATTTTTGTCATTTATGAAACAAATTTTAAAGTCAAAAGAAAATAACGTGTTCTAATTTAGGTATTACGATAATTTACATATATATTAAAAGTATTAAAAACGTCTTTTAAAGATAATTTTAAACTTCAAAACGTTTTTCTTTTTTTCGATAAATGCCACTTATTTAATTATATCATCCACATAATATATTTCTTTTAATTAATATGATCCACACGCGTAGATTCCAACAAGAAAACAACGATAATAACAAAAATAATGCTATATGCTTCATAATAATGCAATTTGCTTTGATGATGTTCATAAATCTCGTCATCCTGTGAGGTTGACCAAATGTATTATTATGATATTCAAGAAGACAACGTAGCATTAACAACGTACTTTCTATCACATTTTTTTAACGTAGTTTTATTATTAATAATTACAAATTATTAAAATCTTGAAAATTATAAATAAGACAGTCGTTTAATAAGTTAGACACAATCTATAATAAATTTCAATAAATAATATATTTAAAAATAGTATAGTATTGTGCATATGTAAAATATCGGTAAAAATACACAACTATAAAATATTACAACAAATGACAGAGATAGTAGAATCAAGACAGAGAAATAGAGAATGATGAACGACATGATGAAAAACAAGTTGTAAAAAGTGCTTTTGCAAATGTGGTGCGAAATGTGACTTTACTTTGGTAAAAAAGACTTAAAACATTTTCTATATTTGTTGAACGCGTTTAACTACATATAGCGTTCACAAATAACCTCTAACTTAGATGTTGATTTCTTTGAACCACTTGCCATTTGCAAAATCTTAATCTTCGAATTAATGCGTGTCGTTCATTTTTTACACACATGTTGCATGTACATACTTAAAAGTTCAAAAAACAAAAACAAAAATATATTTAGGAGACTGAAAACAGTGTTTCACTACGGTCAATTAATGCAAAATACTCATATTTCCCACGAGTGAATTGGTGCACTTGCTTTGATGTTTCCTCTCACAGCTTATATAAGGAAACTGAAATTCAAAATGAGAGCATAAGGGGTAGCATGGCTAGGGTTCATAGTTTAAAGCATGTTCTATCTTTTACTCTTTCAGTTGCAGTTAATATTTTGTTAGTTGGCATGTTCATGTGCACAAGATGGAAGCAAAGTTGGACACAAGAAGCTATGGCAGAAGCTGAAGCTGTATCATCTATCTCCTGCTCAGGCCATGGAAAGGCTTTCTTGGATGGTTTAGTTCTTCATGGCAAGCCTGTTTGTGAATGCAACATGTGCTATGGAGGAAATGACTGCTCACAACTTCTTCCTGATTGCATGGTTGATGCAGATAGGTATTAATCTTTGTTTTTTATTATCTTGTTGTGACTTTCACACACACACACACAGTGGCATCGAAATGGCTCATTCTTTCTTTCTTATTGAGACATAAAATCTTTTTATGAAGAAAGTTAACAAATTTGAAAGAGATCACATGGCATTCTAGCATCAGTTCCTGGTATTCACATAAAATTGAGGATACAAAACTTCTTTAAAACCATATGCTGTAGTGAACACAGGTTTGAATGGATTTGGCAAGTTGTATGTGAAGAAATGTACGTATAGTTGTAATATTTAATAGGTTTTGTTGTGTTATATACTTTAATTTCAATTAGAGCAACTCCACTTATTAAAATACCTAAGCACAATAATGCTCTCCCCATAGACTAATATAAAAAATTACTTACAGTGTGAAAATAATAATTAGGTATACCCAATTTTATGCTGCAGATGATTGAAACTAATGTTTCATAATATAAAAATTAAACATTTGTGCTTTATACTTTAATTAATTCACATATTTATTATCAATAAAAATACTTTAATTAATTTTAATTTATAAGCATTTGTGTGATATACGAAATAGTTTGTTATAGTTTATCTTTAATTTGTACATAAATAATGGAAACTACATGCTTGTTATGTGGCGTGGATATAGTTTTCTTACACGATTAATTAATTAAAAAATCACATTGATGATTTGTTATATAGTTATTATAAGAAGTTAATTAAACATATCATACATGGTAAATTAGTAAGGGATGTATGTGTACTCTAATTTTAGTATAATGAAAACTAAATTAACTTGAAATCATTACTTTATGTATCCTGCAGTGGAGATCCCACATTTTTGGAACCCTTTTGGATGAAGAATGCAGCTAGCAGTGCAATAGTGGTTGCAGGATGGCATCGGATGAGCTATGACTTCAGTGATGGCTCTCTCATCTCAGAAGAGTTGAAGGCACACATTCGAAAGATTCATGCAAGTGTTGGAAATGCTATAACAGATGGAAAATACATAATATTTGGAGCAGGTGCCACTCATCTTCTTAATGCTGCAGTGCATGCTCTTTCTTCAAATAATGCTTCTTCTTCACCTGCAAAAGTCGTAGCTTCAATCCCATATTACCCGGTAAAGTTCTTTAACCACTCATTAACTACAAAGTGATGCTTACAAAGATATATCTCGAATGTTTAGAGAATGTATGCTTCACTGTGAATTGGAGAATGTTTTTTAATCACTAAAACTCAATTCTGAGCCTTCATGACTTGCTAGGTTTATAAAGAGCAAACTGAATTTTTCAAATCTGAGGATTATAAATTCAATGGAGACACATCTATGTGGAAGAATGATACTTCAAACTCAACCTTCATTGAGTTGGTGACTTCCCCAAACAATCCAGACGGGGATATGAAGAAGGCTATTCTTCAAGGTCAATTTGTGAAGACAATTCATGACCTTGCCTACTACTGGCCTCATTTCACACCTATCACAGCACCTGCAGATGAAGATTTGATGATATTTACGCTTTCTAAGCTAACTGGTCATGCTGGAAGCCGATTTGGGTACGTTAAATTCTGTACTAGCTAGATCATGACTCTGACATAAGTCATACACTTAGACATAAAACTGATTTATTTTATAAATACATGTAAAGAAATTGGTTTAAATAGATTTTGAGTATTTCACGAACACTGATTTGGATAATAAAGACTTTACCTGAAGAACGTATGCATTGATTTGTATTAGGTGGGCAATAATAAAGGATGAAGCTGTTTACAAAAGAATGTTAACATACATGGACTTTAGTACCTATGGTGTTTCTAGAGAGACTCAGCTAAGAGTGCTGAAGCTTTTGAAGGTTGCCCTCAGTGGAAATGGAAGGGCAATGTATGAATTCGGATACAACACAATGAAGAACCGGTGGACCAAGTTGAGCAAAGTCTTGTCTCAATCAAAAACATTTTCTACTCAAAAATTAAAACCTCAATATTGTTCATTTTCCCAGCAAATCAGAACACCTTCTCCAGGTACTTTTCCTGTACAGATATCAGGTCCATAATACAAAAACAAAGAAACTCTATTCCGTCTAAATTAATATTTTTTCTCATCCAAAATTTTTTGTTTACAATGTTAAAACCAAATCTTGTTTAAAAGAAGATTCAATATCATTTGAATCTTGGTGAAATTTGTAAGAATGAATTTAATATGACGAGATGTTTAAAAGTTTACTTTCGTATTTATTGCAGCTTTTGCATCGTTGAAGTGTGACACATCCGTATTAGAAGATCGTTCTTGTTATGAAGTTCTCGAGGAAGCTAACATTACTGGGCGAGAAGGTAGTTTATTTGGAGCTGATAACCACCATGTGCGTCTTAGCTTGGTTAGGAGTGAAGATGACTTCGATTTATTGCTAAGGCAAATCAACAAGCTAGTTTCTGTGGAAAGTCATGATAAACGTGTGGCCACAACTTCAACTGGTTTAGGGCAAAACTATGGGTCTACAGTGATGGAATGTTGTGGGAACATATCATTGAATTTGAGAATGGAATTAGAGACTTTGAACTATAATGGATTGTACACTATCGTTGATCTTTTTTCTTATTAATAAATCAAGATTTAAATATTCTTTTAATTATATTTTGTCTCTAAATTTAAAATTAGTTTCCTTATAGTCTGCTTGATTAAAAGAGATTGCTTAGACTCTTTTTGTTTTAAATATAATTAATGCTTCTGCTTACATGTCTAACAAATTATGATAAAAAAATGAAAAGATAATATATAATATTAATGAAAAATATATGAAACTAATCTCGTGAAGTGTTTATGCATTTAATGGTCAAATAACCATATTTAAGTAACACTTATTAATGTTTGTTGTATGAGATATTTCTATTTTTTTTTCAAAATCCTAAAATTAATGTAATTTATCAACCTTAAAAATAAATATTAGAAATTAACAATAGTGATTTTAATTAGGTTCACATGATAGACAATGGACCTGAACTAATCCGTTTCTTAGAGATAACTTTTTATTACGTTATTATAGATTTACTTAAGTGAGTTTTTGTGATTGTCATTTTTTTTTCTATTTTTGTAATGATATTTTTGCAGTGATGCATATATTATTATAATATTTGATGTTTGGTGTGATGAGTGTAAGTAATATTGTTGTTTTAAGTATTATTTTAGCTACGACCTGTTTGCGTTTCTATTTATAGTGAATGGATATTTTTTAATGTATATTTATATTGAATGAACAATTTTTTAATTTATATATTATTGTTTTTCATATATATAGCTCACTCCAATTTAAGAATAAACCAATCACATAAAAAAAGATGTAATTTGGAAGACAATAAGTAGTAGTTCCAAAGTTTTATGATGGAATATATTTTAAAAATATAATATATTAAATTATAGTATTTTTAATAATTTACATATTTTTATGATTATTTATTTATTTTATAAAAATTATTACAAAATAATTGTTAAAAAAGTGGTTTATAAAGATAAATGCTTATAATTATTAACATTTAACAAAAAGGTTAGTAAATAAAAATATAAATTTATTGTATATAGATGAAGTGGAAATAAATTGTAAGAAGAAAAAAGAATAAGAAGAGGAAGGAGAAAGAGAAAAAGAAAGAGAAAGTAAAAGTGAAGAAGAGAAAGAGGGAGAATAAGAAAAAGATAAATATATAAATATTTTCATCCAAATTTTAATGTATTCTTTATCAAATATTTATTATTTAATTAATTTATTATTATTAATTAATTATTATTTAATTTTATTTTATAATTATTAATTCTTTTTATCTATCTATATTTATATTTTTTTTCAAATTATCTTTATTTATTTATATTTATATTATTTAAATACTTATTTTCTTTATTTATTAATTTATCTATAATTATAAATTGGTATTTTTTTAATTTATCTTTATATCATTTAGTTTTTACAATTATTGATTTTAATATTCACGTTTTTAATTGAAAAATATATATAATAAAATAATTTAATTTTTTCTTAAAGAATAAAAAAATTGTAAATAAAAATTTAATAATATTGTATTTAAATATTTAATCTTAAAGATTTAAAAGAATAAATATTGGGTGCGAAAATTTTTGTATTATTATAATAATAATAAAGAATTTTATTTATTAGAACAGCAAGTAAATTTATTTACGAATAAATAATTAATTTAAAATTATTTTATAATGAATAGTTATTTATTTAATTAAAAAATATAAAATATTTATAAGTTAAATATATTTTTTTAGTAATTTAATTTAATTATAATTAGATTAATTCGAGATAATGAATTAAATTAGGTAATTTTAAAAATTATTTATTAATTTTTTAAAATAAATACTTTTTTTAATAATTATAATATAATAATAATATTTATAATATTTCAAGTTTATTATATAATATATTTTTTAAATATAATATATTAAAAGTTATAATATTTTTAAATTATTTAAATTATTTATTTTTTAAAAATAATAATGACTTAATTTATCAAATTTTAATTTAATATTTTTAATTAATGAATAGGATAAAAAAAATATAAAAACAACTATTTAGATTGAAAAAAATAATAATAAAAAAAGAAAAACATAATAAAATTAAAAAAAATTATATTTAAATAATTTTTTTTAAAATATATATTTATGAGATTTAATACTCACGTTAAAAGTTTGCCAAATTCTAATTAAAATAAGCCATTTGATTAAAAGTCTGCATTATGATGAGTTACGTTTAAAAGTAATATTTCAGATGAAATATATTTTTATCTTTCAAATTATTTTAAACTTGGTTTTATTTTTTGGAAAAATTAATTTATTTTAATCTTAGCATATAGTAAAAGTGGTATGATTTTAATTTTCTGTGAAAGACGAAGAACATGTGTTTTTATTACAAACCGTGCATATATTCCTCCGCTTCGCAAACTCCTTTCACCGCAAACTCCTCCGTGCGAACCACCAAGAGGTTCCGGAGACCCTACGCTCCACCAGGAGGCTTCGGCGACCCCGTGGAAGCCAGCAGAAAGCTCCGGCGAGACAGGCGAGATCATACTGCGATTCCGGTGTTACTCGGCACTGGTTAAGAGGTAGAAGAGGAACGGGGATGAGGCAAACTTGAGGTAGAAATTTCCCTTTTTTTCATGATTTTTTCTAAGTTCTGGTTGTGCCTTTTCCTATTCTACAGTGGTTGATTAGGGTTTCATTAGAGTTTGTTCCTACCTCTGCAAAATTCCAAGTCGTATTTTCATGTATCCTATTTGATGTTTATTTCCTATAAAATTGTGTTATGTGCCGTGGGCATCAAAATTGTCAGAGCAGAAGTGGAATCAGCTCTGTTTCATCCTTAATGGCTTTATAATAGTCTCTGTATGTGTGAGCATCAAGTTTGTTTTTGTGTGTGAAAATTTATGTGCAGTGTCTGAGTAGCATAATTAGGTGATTTATAAAGTTGAGACTAGGGACTGCATCTCTCTCCAGGTTACCTTACACCATCCTTAACTTATGTGCAATTTCTTGTTTTCTTAATGGTTAGACTGTTATTTAAAATTTCGGTAGATACGGTTTGACTGCGTTCCTGACCTAATCATATTGTGTGTGGTTTGACGTTGTTACTTTCTTGACTTAAATATTGTGTATAGGCTCTGTATAGCATTGCCAAATGATTTCTGCCTGTATTTGAATCAATTACCGTGACTCCTGTAGAGCGAACAACTAGAGTTTTTTTATCTCACTTTGGTTGCTTTGTAAGGCTGCTTTCTTACGGTGTCATTAATGTTATGGGATGCTTCCCTTACCTTCTCAATTAGTTTTAATCTTGTAATGGTTATATAATTATAAGTTTTCACCTATAAACAAAACCATTGTGGCACAGTTTGTTTCTTCTGTAAATTTTTTTTCCAATACGCCACACTTCTCCTCCGATCAACAGCAATATGGATGCGCAAGCCAAGAAAAAGGCTTTGTTCCGTGCTAAATTGAATGCTCAGAAGAAGGAAAAGCGCATAGAATCTCCCCTTGTGAGGTTAGTAATTGGTGCCCATCATGAAATTTTTCCATTCCCAGACATCATGTTACTTTTCCCTTCACAAATTGAATATGGATTTTTTAATTTGTTACATGTTCTGTACTATACTGCATCAATTATTCAGTTTGTAAATTCATCCTTCATGGTTTTATTTTTTGTTCTTCACATGAGAATGACACTTATTTTTTTAAATACCTTCTGCTTATAAATTGAGTTATGACTTTCTATTTAATTGTTTAATTTTCTTCTAATTGCATGAAATCTATATTTGAATTTGACAGTTTTCGTTCATATATACATACAGGTATAATGAATTTGATCAACCTGTTTGCCGGGTTTGTGATGTTGTTCTGAAGTCTGAATCTTTATGGGATGCACACCAAGTTTCTCGTAAGCATCATGAGGTGATGATGTTTACAATCTTGTTCTTATTATGTATCTGTGCATAGTAGTTGATGGCACACTATAGTAGAGTATCAGAGCAGAGCAGCTCTGAGCTGCTATGGGATTCATATTGTAGAGTAGTTCTCAAAAGCAGCCATACTAGAAGCTTATGCATGCTATAGTAGTTTAACCATGATATATACACTTAAAATTTAAAAGCCATTTTCCCCTAAAATAATTTTGTTTAGGCCTTAAGTTCTTTTTTTGAGGTATAACTGTGATTTCTCCCTCATTTTCTGCTACATGTTTGGCTTCAGAAACATAATAATAAGATTTGAAACACTTCTTCCTTCTTTGACCTTTGTTACAGGATTATTTTTTTTTTTCTTTGAAGTTACTTCTGGTTTGATCTTTATTCCATTCTTGCTCCTTTCTACATACTTCTCAGATTACATTCCACTTAGTGTTCTGTTCTTTTTCTACATCATCTTTCATTTTTTTGACTTTATTACTATAATGTTCTTGATCCTAGATTGCTTGTGTAAATTGTCTTATTATTTATCATAAATTTGTTTAAATTTTTCAATTTTTTTGTTTAGAGTATTTATGTTGGTAGTAGTACTAATTTAAATTGTTTAGTTTGTATTATAATTTATAATGTAATATTTAAATAGATGCCTTCCCTTCCCACTTTCTTGCTCTTCTTAGATCTGGTCACCATGCGCTGCTATCTGGGATTATGATGGGGATCAAGAGAAAATTAATGGGCCAGAAGAATTATTGATCCATGAAGCTGCCAGCAAGCCCAAGACGTGGTTGGTTTACAAGAGAAGGGAGAAGAAAATAGAAAAAAGAAAATAGATATGCTGAGGTGGAAGTTAGTTAGAAGGGAGAGAAAATAATTAATTATATAATAGGTTTGTTTCTGTGAGGGAGGGGGGTCTTGGATTTTACGGATATGGAGAGAGAATATCTCTTTGTAATACTGAGCGGTGCTCGGGGTATCCGGAGGTTATTTCTCTTGATGCATAGTTATTTTACTGGTCAAATTATCAAAATCATCCCGTATTTCTTCCATATTTTGCCTTTTTGTCCGATAATACTTGTTTGTCAAGTTTTCCGATTCGTAACAAATTGGTCCGACACTGCGGATGCAAACACTTCCGTGAATGCCAAGAAACAAGAAACCAACGAACGCAGCACCGATGTCTAATGAAACGGTGGATTCTCGTTTGGAAACGGTGGAAAAGGAACTTTCCGGTTTACGATTGACGATGGAGGAAAATCGGAAGAAGATGATGGAGTTTATTGTTCAAAGCCTTAGTGGCTTTGCCAAAGATCTAGAGAAAAGGAGGGCGGAGATGCCGAGAGAACCATGGTGAGGGAGTTCATTCATCCAATGACGGACCCGAAGGCGAAAAGGAGGATGGAAAAGGCATTTGGGAAGGGAATGAGAGTGCTTGGAGACCCCAAATTCCAGGGCGATACACTGGGAGGAATTTAGACAATCCGTAAAGAAGGTCGAACTTCCGTCGTTCAACGGTGAGGACCCGCAGGGTGGATATCACGTGCAGAAATTTATTTCCATATTCAAAATACAAGAGATTCGATGACGCGTGCGTCTGGCGCAATTGTGTATGGAAGGAGGGACGATACATTTTTTCAATTCATTGCTCAACGAAAGGGAAAATATCTCCGGGAACAGTTGAAGGAAGCATTATTGGATCGTTATGGAGGTTTGGGAAAAGGGAATGCATATGATCAACTTATGGCATTGGAGCGGACCCATGATGTTGATCAATATATCCGAAATTTTGAGTTTCTAATGGCACAGATTCCTCGAATGCCGGATAAACAGTATTTTTCATTCTTTACACGTGGATTGAAGGAAGATATTCGTGATCGTGTGAGGAGTATGCAAGCTATGGGGACTCGACTCGTTCACGTTTACTTAACGTCACACGAACGGTAGAGGTGGAACTTAGGGGTAAGGGCGGATTGGTCTTTTCACCGGGAAGGATGGATCCACGTGGGTCGCATTGGTCTACAAGGCCCAATTCAAGTGTGGTATTCGGAAATCAAACAAAAATTGAGAAAGGGGCTAGGGGTCGGGTTTTCACGGGTGGAACTAATGGGCGGGGCCCAATTCACGTGAGGTGGTGCAAGGAAGAAATGGTGGTGGACTAAGAGATCGTGGGGTGAGACAAATGTCATATAATGAGCTTATGGATAGAAGGCAACGTGGCCTCTGTTTTAAGTGTGGTGGAGCCTATTCACCTCAACACGTTTGTCCGGAAAAACAATTGAAGTTAATGCTGATCGATGAAAGAGATATGGAAGATGATCGATCCGATTCGAGTACGTGATTTTGGATGATACGGACCGAATTGATGGAGAATGTTCTATTCTTCACTTGCGTAATCTGTGGCACCAAGGTGAGGACATGTCGCAACCGAAAACATTGAAGCTTGAGGGAGAAATTCATGACATTCCTGTATGTGTTTTGGTGGATAGCGGAGCAACTCACACCTTTATCTCTAGAAGTTTAGTGGAGGCAATGGGATGGTCGATAGAAGAGACGAAAGACTTGAAGATCTTGATGGGGGATGGCCATAAATCAATTACGCGTGGAAAGTGTCGAGAACTTCATATTAGATTGGGCCACTGGACGTTTGTATTGGACGCCTATTTGTTCGATCTTGAAGATATTGACGTTGTGTTAGGAATTTCATGGTCGGCTTCCTTGGGGGAGATGATTATTGATTGGAAATTTCGGTCTCTTCGTTTTGTGCATAACGGTGAATGGGTTGAATTAAAAGGAACCACGCAACACAATAAAAAACAAGGCATCCTTAACTCGCTAGAAGGGATGATTTCTACTAAAAAGGTAGGGGCAGAAGTTGGGGAAAGTGAAAGCGAGCTGGTGACGAGTGTTGGACCGGATGCGAAACAAGACTTACAAGGCTTATTGGATCGATTTAAATCGTTTTTCAAGAACCGCAGGGTTTGCCCCCTAATAGAACCAAAGTACATAGCATTACCTTATATCCTGGTCAAGGCCCAATCAACGTGCGTCCTTATAGATATGCACATCATCAAAAAGATGAGATTGAACGTCAAGTCAAGGAATTATGGGATAATGGGGTTATTCGACACGACAGCGAGTTCATTTTCTAGTCCGGTGATTCGGTAAGAAAAAAGACAAGTCGTGGAGGATGTGTGTAGACTACGGGGCGTTGAACAAGGTGACCATTCGGATAAATTTCCAATTCCCGTTATTGAGGAGTCTGTTGGATGAGTTGCACGGAGCAAAGTTCTTCTCAAAGCTGGATTTAAAATCTGGTTACCATCAAGTTAGGATGAGAGAAGAAGACATAGAGAAGACTGCTTTTAGGACACATGAGGGTCACTATGAGTACCTCGTGATGCCCTTTGGGCTAATGAATGCTCCTTCGACGTTTCAAGGTCTAATGAATGATATATTTTGAGGTAAGTTGAGGAAATCAGTATTGGTTTTCTTTGACGACATTTTAATCTTTTCCAAGAGTTGGAAAGAACATATGCAACACTTAGAGGAGGTATTCCAGATTTTGCAGGAGCAAGTTTTATTTGCCAATGAAAAGAAGTGTTTCTTGGCAAGGAGGCAAGTGGAGTATTTGGGACATATCATATCAGAAGAGGGAGTAGCGGTAGACCCGGAGAAAGTAAGGAGTGTAATTAATTGGCCAATCCCCAAGAATGTAAAAGGGGTAAGAGGTTTCCTTGGTTTGACAGACTATTACAGGAAGTTTGTTCGTGATTATGGTAAAATAGTTCGACCCTTGACAGAATTAACTAAGAAGGATGCATTTAAATGGGGAGATGAGGCTCAAACAGACTTTTGACACATTGAAGAAAAGGTTAACTACAGACTCCGGTCTTGGTATTGCCAAATTTCGACAAGGAATTTGTGGTGGAGTGTGATGCTTCGGGTTGGGAGTAGGGGCAATAATGATGCAAGACAAGCATCCAAGTGGCATTCTTTAGTAAGGCTCTTAGTACTCGGAATTTGAACAAGTCCACGTATGAGAAAGAATTGATGGCCGTAGTTCTTGCAGTGAACCATTGGAGACCTTACCTTATTGGGAGACATTTCTCGGTTTTGACGAGATCATAAGAGTCTTAAACGGCTCCTTCAACAGAAAGTTATCTCCGGTAACCAGCGGAATTGGATAGCTAAATTGTTGGGTTATAACTTTGATATTATTTACAAGCCTGGGGCGGACAATAAAGGGGCGATGCTTTATCAAGACAGATGGAAAGTGGTGAATTAAGGAGTCTTATGTACCTTCCGGTGTGGATGGATAGTCAAGCAATTGTGGCTGAGGTGCATGAGGATGCAAAATTAAGGGAAATTATTGAAAAGATCAAGAAAGGTGAAGAGGTTCCTGCAGGTTTTACTTACCAACACGGGGTTCTATTATTTGAAAACAGATTGGTGGTGGCGGACAACTCGATTGGATTCCAAAAATCTTGGAAGAATTCCATGTGACTCCTCAAGGGGGCCATTCGGGCTATTTCGGAACCTATAGGCGGTTGGCGGCTAACATATACCTGGAAGGGGATGAAAAGGATGGTGCAACGAGTATGTGAGAGCGTGTGACACTTGCCAAAGGCAAAAATATTTAGCAACTACACCAGGAGGGTTGCTACAACCTTTGTCAATTCCGGAAAAGGTTTGGGAAGATATATCTTTAGACTTCATTACGGGTCCGCCTAAATCTAAGGGATATGAAGCAATTCGGTAGTGGTAGATAGGCTAACAAAGTATGTCCACTTTGTTCCACTTAAGCATCCCTACACGGCCGAACGTTGGCTGAAACATTTGTGAAAGAAATAGTGAGGTTGCATGGGATCCCAAATTCCATAGTCGGCGACGAGACCCCATTTTCATAAGTCAATTTTGGAAAGAGTTTTTCAAACTACAAGGCACAACCCTTAATATGAGTACTGCTTATCATCCACAATCGGATGGTCAAACGGAGGTGGTGAATAGGAGCTTAGAGACATATTTGAGGTGTTTTATCATCGATCAACCCAAACAGTGGGTGGTTTGGCTCCCGTGGGCTGAGTACTGGTATAATACATCCTACCATGAGTCCACTCAAATGACTCCTTTCGAGGCAGTGTATGGGAGGAAACCTCCATCTTTAGTAAGAGGGATCCAAGGAGAAATAAGGGTAGAAGCAGTTCAACAAGAGTTGGAGGATAGAGATGAAATTTTAAGGCAACTAAAGGAGCATCTTACAAGGGCTCAGGTCAGAATGAAGAACCAAGCAGACCTTAAAAGACAAGAGAGGAAATTTGAAGTAGGTGAATGGGTTTTTCTGAAATTACGCCCTCATAGACAGAATTCGGTTTCTCCCAGGGTTAATACCAAACTTGCAGCAAGGTACTACGGTCCTTTTGAGGTGTTGAGCAGAGTTGGTGAGGTGGCTTATCGTTTGAACTTACCATCTACTTCAAGAATACACCCCGTTTTTCACGTATCATTGCTGAAGAAAGCAATTGGCAACTACCAGACTCAACCAGAACTACCTACTGAGTTGGGAGAAAAGGATGCAGAGTTGTGGAATCCTACTTCCATTTTAGCCAAAAGAGAAGTCGTCAAACACGGAGAGATAGTGAAGCAAGTGTTGGTGCAATGGGCAGCAAAGCCAGCCGAGGAAGCTACATGGGAGGATGCCAGTATGATAAAAAATCAGTTCCCTTATCTCCATCTTGAGGACAAGATCAATTTTCAAGAGAGTGGCAATGATGGGGATCAAGAGAGAATTAATGGGCCAGAAGAATTATTGATCCATGAAGCTGCCAGCAAGCCCAAGACGTGGTTGGTTTACAAGAGAAGGGAGAAGAAAATAGAAAAAAGAAAATAGATATGCTGAGGTGGAAGTTAGTTAGAAGGGAGAGAAAATAATTAATTATATAATAGGTTTGTTTCTGTGAGGGAGGGGGGTCTTGGATTTTACAGATATGGAGAGAGAATATCTCTTTGTAATACTGAGCGGTGCTCTGGGGTATCTGGAGGTTATTTCTCTTGATGCATAGTTATTTTCTGGTCAAATTATCAAAATCATCCCGTATTTCTTCCATATTTTGCCTTTTTGTCCGATAATACTGTTTGTCAAGTTTTCTGATTCGTAACAGATTATTAAAACTATTAACTATGTAAATGCTGGTAAATTTTTAGACATCTCTCAGTGGTATTTCTTCTTTTAAGTAAAAAATTTCTCAGGTCATGTTTTGCTATTCTTATTTTTATGAATTTTTGAACTGTTGTTAAGGTTTGTTTCCCTTTGAATTTCGCAACCTCCTTTACCCCCATCACCATTTCAAAATGAACTTACCTTAAAGGCTATGATTATTTTGGGCAGGCAATAAGTAATCTGAAAGCTAATGCAGCTGGATTAACTCAACAAAACAATGCAAAGCCTGTTTCTGATACCAGCATTCCCAAGGCTAAACTAGAACATCCTTTGGGCTCACAATCCAAACTTCCAGAAGGTTCACAAGAAGTGTCTAAACCTCAATCATCGTCAGTGCTTCCACCAGGTTTTTTTGATGACAGTGATTCAGGAAAGACAAGATCTGGTAAGAATTTGGTTTAGAAAATGAAGTACATATTTGTACTCTTGTACATTTTTAATAAACAGATTTTCAATTGCATATTACAGGCAGTGATGGTAATATTTGTTCTTATTTACATATTTTGTATGTCAATGTATTAATATAATGCCCAGATTGTCCATTTGATATTTATACAATTACAACTCATACTTTTAAGAGTAGAATATGTTTTCATGAATTATCACATACGTTTTAACTTGAATTATAGAATTTTTTCTGAACCCATGTTTCTTTTTTGGGGTGTCACTACAATTATCATTTGCTTATTTAGACACAAGGATTTTGGTCCCTTAACCCTTGCAAGATGTTTTCCTGCAAATTCTTTTCAGAATTTCAAACTCATTTGTTACATAAAGCTAGTTTCTATCTTGAAAATTCCTTCTTTATGCTCAAAGCTCTCTCTGAGGTCGAAACTTTTATTCAGAGTGAGGTGCTTAACATATTACGTGTTTGTAGCCCACAAGAGGCTGATACTTGTTCAAAAGTGGGTCCTCATTGGTTTCGCATTGCTTTACTTTAGTTCATTTTTGGAGTTCATTGGTTTATTTCCTTTTTGCTTTATGGTGATTCCTTTATCCTTCACTTTGTAATTTCTTCTTTTCATCTTGTTGAATTTATTCCTTTAGAAAAATAATTGTAAAGAGTAAGACATGGCATTCATTTGCTTGGAATTTGAGATGAATATAAATGCGTTACAAAAGTGATTGTATTCTACAGTTGGCTGTACCCTGCTTGGAAATGGATTAAACAACTTTGGTGCTTTCACTTGTATTCTGCCAAAATTTGTATATTGATAAATGGTAAAAACCATGGAATTCTCAGATTTTATTATGGCAGTGACTTGGTTCATTATTTGTACTGGGTCTATCCAGTTGGTGCTTTATCACGTCTTGGGACTTCATGTTGCTACAAGTTTGATAATAACGTTGGTTTGTTCCAACTTGCAACGCGTACTATTAACTTATCTTTTGCAATTGACCTTTTTCCTTGCAGAACATTTAGCAGACTCTAATTTAGGGAGAACTCCTGGGGTTTCTGCTCAAAATCAGGTGTTAAACTTGGAGAAGGAGAAAGGTCATTTTCATGACAATAATGCTGCAGAGTCAAATGTTAGCCAGACATCAGTCAAGACTGCTGATACAGAGGTTAAGCAAGTAAAAGGGAGTCTTCCTGAAGGATTTTTTGACAATAAGGAAGCTGATTTGCGTGCTCGTGGCATAAAGCTTGTTAAGCCGGATGTCAAGTAGGTTCTCACTTTATCGTGTTGGTTTCTGCTACATTTATTTGTCATGGATTTGTTTTTTGCATTAAAGTAAAGATAATCAAACTATTTTTATTCTTTTGGCAGAAAAATATCTCCCATATGTAATAAAACCGAGAACAGTGAAGTTTTCACTAGCTTTTTAACTTATTTATCAACCAGAGTGAGTTTTGAATAACTCTTGAAGATATTGAACTGGAAATAAGTCTAATTCATAATATCAGATGATTCCATCAACCTTGTTTGCTCCACGGATAGGTATAATCACATTTAATAATGGTATAAACCCAATTCTTGATGATTTTCCCTATTTTCTTATTGTCTTTTGTGACAAATGAATAAAGGTGTAATTGGAGGGATTTTGGCTTCTTTAAAGCGAGGAATGCGCTTTTGAGTGTATAGTGGAACCTTTGATTCAGGTGCAGAAAACTCCCAATAGTGCACTCGCCCCTCACTCTAGAGTAGTAAAGCCTAATGGGTGAAACTATTTTATTTCTTGGTGTTTATTAGTGCTATACCGTACCCTTGTACATTGCTGGTTCTGTTCCGTGAAATTTTTTGTTATTCTCTTAGACGACTACAAAATTTTTGTTCTTCAAATTTTCATAGAATGACATGTATTCTTTAAAATCTTCTCTTAGAGACGAGTATAAGGAATTTGAGAAGTTGATTCAAGAAGATTTGAAGGAGGTTGACAACCGGTTGGAGGAAGAAGAGGTGATGATCATATTTTCTTCTATATAATTGAGCTTGACTTTCTAACCTTTGATATGTATATACGGTATAAATTTGATATATGATCAAACGTTTGTCATTATGGGCAGATTGATGCGGCCGAAATGATAGAAGAAGCTGAATCTGTAGAGCAGAAGTATGTTTAGCTAGCTGTCTTTAATACTTTTTTCCCGTCATTTGTTCTGTTATCCCATCTGTACTAAGACACCCAACTCTCCCCTCCCCTCTATCCTTTTATCCTTCTACAGGATCTTCAGGGAGAAAGTGCAAATGTTGAAGAAGAGGAGATTGGAAATAAAAGCTGCTAATGCTGCAAAGCGTAATAAATCATCTGAGGTTGCAGCCAAGGAGTCTACACACGATGAGTCATCCAGTGATGATGAAAGTGGAGAAAATTTTGCCGTGGATTGGAGAGCACAACACTTGTGATTTGTGAATACTGTGCTTATTTTTTTCTTCTATTTCTTGAATTCTTGACAATTATACACCCATATCAGATTTTGGACGTACAATTTTATTTACCATCCTCTTCTCTATGTTTATCCATGATTTCCTTTCACTTTATTTAAACAGCAAGGTGTGTGTGGAGATTTTACTGAAGGTGAGGAGAACAATTCTCACCTCATAGTGAGTTTGGCCTTAGTTATGGTCAAATTTTAAAATGCTTTTCCGTTGACAAGACTGCCTACCTAACCCAAAGAGATGTCAATATGAGACTTCCCCATGAAACATTGACACTTGAAGACTATAAAACATCGCCGTGACAGACATGGGCCACACACTATGGTATCATTTGCCATCTTATCAATCTTCTCATGAGTTTGAAACTTATGATCAGGTTTGGGCCTTTCCTCGTAAAACATTTCGTACAATGGTTCCGTGACGATGATCCGCAATGCCAACAAAACAACACCTTTTAAGAGACACCTTTTTGGTTGAAATTCAAGTTTCTACTAATACTATGTTTGGAAAACCTTATTTTCCCAGTTTCAGCTGTTTCTAAATTTAAAATAAAATGTCTGGACATCAGTATTAAGTTTAGTAAAAAGACTTGTTTTTTGAAAAATAAATTATTTCCCTCAATAAAACAAATTTATAAAAAGGATAAATACAATTTTGATGTTGTACAAACTGCTGTATAAATTGTTGTACAAAATAATGTTTTCCTTATAATTAGAAGCAAGATCATGCCATGATGATTGCAGAGGTGATTTTTTTTCTGCTATTTTCTTTTATTTCTTTGTATGTTTTTCATCTGGTTGAGAGGATCCGTCTTGTTCTCGTACTTAATTTTACTTCTATAAATTTAATGTTTATGCATGCTGCAAATTGCTAGAATTAAAATCAATAAAATAAAACTGGAGTTTTAGGTTTGCATTATCCTAAAACAATTATAGTTGTTCAATTTTTGAATTTATTTTGAAATTGATCTAAACTAGATCAAAATAAATTCACAAACATAATATTTACTTATTTCATTTTATATATGATAATGCCAATTTGTCGTGCTTTTTGTTTTGTGTTGTTTTGAACACTATTGCAATCAAGATACCATTTCAACAATCTTATTCTTTTATGGTTCTATAATTAGATTTCATTTTTTTTTTTCTGATAAACATTTTACTTTAATTTATGACTTTTACTTATTTGATGATATTTTCATTAAACATTTCAAGGATAGTTTAACATTTATGTAGTTACAGAAAGTTGAATGTCGATTAGATCCACTGACATTTCAATTATAAGTTTCCAATATAACTAAAATGGATGGATTTTCATTAAATAATATTTATTGATTAAATGTCAATGCTTTTTTTCTTAAAATCAATGAACTGAAATCTGATGATTGATAATTAATTCAAAATTAAGCTCCTAATTTTGCTGTTGGTATTTTCCCTTTAATGGATACCTTGATGGAATCAACTATATATACAAGACCAAGTAATGCAGCAAGGTCAACATATCAATGATGTTGTTCGTATTTTGTTTAGTATATTATTTTATATCATTTTAATATATTAATAATAAAAATACATTTATAATATTTAAACACATTTATTCTTACTATTTGTAACAAGCGGCAACATAAATATTTTATCACCTGTTTGTCCATATTTTTTATATAATTAATTTTTTATATATTATTAAAATTTTCTTTATTAATTATGTATCATATTTTTATAATTTTTTAAATATATAAATTTTAATAATTATTTTATATTTAAAGGTATTGCGTGTAAAATTTGTTATACTATTTCTTATATTACCAATTTTTTTTTTTTACGTTGAAACCTTAATATGCATTAATTTTAATAAGTTATTAGAAAAAAAAACTAAATAATTATATACATCGATCATAAATAAATAATATAATATGTCCAGGGGATATTAATATAAGAAGAGCTAATTTTTTATATTAAAAAAAGTATTTACTATATAAATAGTGCAAAGGTCATCTCACAAAATAAAGTATACAAATTATTTGATGCATGCTTTATAAAGTAAAATTTAAATTATGTTTAATGCTTTCATATCATGTGCCTAGGCACAGCTGAAAATCCTATGTACAGATAATCAATAACATATTTTAGGTAAAATATATTTTTAGTTCATGAAAAATATCTGGAAATCTAGTTTTATTTCTTGTAAAAATTTAATATATATTTTATATTTTAACAAAAATACATGATTTTAGTTCTTAAAAAGGAGCTGAAAATTGCATAACTTAAAAAAGAAAATAAAATTGAATTAAATATTTACGGAAACTACAATTGAATTTGATATATTTTGGTGGAGTAAACAGAGTTTTTTATTGTGCATCCACGACACATAATCTTTTATAATTATTCTTTCAAGGCATAAATAAATATTTATTTAAATATATTATTGATAATATATAATTTTCTTTTATGTTAACATTTGGTAGTAAAGAGTTTGGTAATAAAAGAGTTAAGTGATGGAAATAAACATAAACTCGTGACAAGAATTTGTTTATATAAATTTAATCAGGTATATTTTAAATATTCCAATAAATTGTAAAAATTCTTTTTTTATCATCACCCTTAAAATAAAGTTAGTCTTTCCTCTAAATCCTAGGGTATAGTAAGTTTTCGGATTTGAATATTATAAATAGAAAAATTAAATATAATTGAATGAGAAGATTATTAAAAAAATTAAGCCATTTCTAATCAAACAGTAATTATAAATAAAGTCGATAGATATTTTAAGGATTAAAAAAAGAAAAAAAGAAGAACAAAAAACTCTTCAAAAGTGATTACAGAGGTTTAATCTCGATTGATATTTATGTTTAATCAATGATTGTCTTTATCATTAAAAGGACCAAACAAGCTTCTAATCTTCATTATTACCCTAATTATTCGATGTCATTAAAACATGCCCTTGGATCAGAACTTTTCTCAAAATAGATGCCCTAGAGTATATCTTCATCTATTAGTTAAAATTGTTAGTGCAAAATGACTGTGAAATCATAACAATTAATTAATCAATTAATTAATTTTAGTATATTTCACATGTTCATCCTTGGTTAGATATTTCCTAGGTAAAGATGCATCTTAATTATTTGTTTTAAATATCTATTATTTAATTACGCTGTATATTTCTAATGACACGTAGATTCTTATTAATTTGAAAATAGCTATATATTTAATGAATAATTTAAATAATCATCAAGAATACTTAGATTTCTGATACATTAAACCCTACCATTATGCATTTTTATTAGCTATCTTTCCTTTAATGCATGCTTAATCTTATTTCATATATATATATATATATATATATATATATATATTAAAATATCTTCTTTGATTATATAAATTATTATTTAAATAAAATATTGATAAAAAAATTATAAATAAGATTATTTTATTTTTTTACATACATTCTTAGAATACAAAGAATTACTCTTAAGAGTGATATATTCCAAATTATTATTATTATTATTATGGGATATTATACTTTTTATAATAATACTTCTCAAATACTATTGAAATTAACAATTGCTGATTTAATAGATTTATGATATTATCTTACAATTTAGAGTTTAAACGTTTAATCTTATAATAAAATTGACCTTAGCTTGTATACTTCTATTTCATATTTAGTTCTAATCAATGTAAGATTTGAATTTTTCTTGATATTAATAAGGCATTTTTCTTCATCAAAGACATTATATAAGAGTATATTAACGAAAGTGAAATTTATTATGGCAATTGATTGAATATTTATTAATTTAGAGATAAGAAATGTATAGTTATTATATTATTTTTATTAAATTAATTTCTAACGTTAGGTACAAATTTAACTATTTCTTAAAATAGTCTTTAACTATAAAAATGAATAATTGAATTTTTAACATTAACACTTATAGAGATGAGAATATGTAAAATAAATTAGAGAGTATTTGAAGAGAGGAATGGTGTTTAAGCAGGGTTAGGGTTAGGGTTAGGGTTGATGTTATGGAAGTGATGATTATAGTAGATGAGACAAAAGTTTGTGGAGCTTCTCCCCCTCATGACCTCATCCATAAACCAAGTTGGTGACCAAAATAATGGAAGTATGTTGGAATGCAGAAGAAGCATTGAAAACTCTGCTTTGTGTTTGTGTTTGTGATTGAAGGAGAGATATTGCATTTTGGTGGTGTTCGTGTGGGATGCACACTCCCTTCCATTATTAATTATATTATCTCATTTTCCACTCTCCCTTTTCTCACTCCTCTCAGTGCTTTCCTCTTCACCAATCCACTCTTTCTCTTTTCATATATCTTCTCCCATCGCATCTCAGGTTTAATTAGTGTTAAAAATCTAAGTTCAAATTATAAATTAGATAAAAATAAGAAAGTAGAGGAAAAAACAATTTTAAAATGAAAATAATATCATATTCTTTTATATAATTATATAAATTTTAACAACAGACTTATTATTTCATAGACTTTGTCTTTAATGTCATCATTTTTATTTTTATACTTTATCATCATTACCATTTCACTATAACATCGTCACTATTATGGTTAATAATAAACCTAACCCATTACAAAGTTAAAATATGATTTTATAATTAATTCATTAAACTTATTCAATATCATGTTTAATTATTTTGATAAATTTTCTTATATATATAATAATAATAATAATAATAATAATAATAATAATAATAATAAATTAAACTTTATAAGTTAAATTCAACTTATACACCTCAAATTTTAAAGCTAGATTCGAATTATTCTATAAAAGTTAAGCTGCATGAATTACTTTTAATTAGAATCTATAATTGATTTTATTTTCAAAATTTAGAACTTATGTATACCAAATATAGAATTATGATTGAATTTGAAATTAAGAAATATACAAAGCATAAGAAAATTGTCAGCTAGAACTAAATTTTAAGATATAATTGATATTGTACAATAA